CATTTCCCCTCCAACTCATGACCCATCCATCCCACCTCAGTCTGTAGCTCCTTTTGACCATTTTGAACCCATCACTCTATCTTCTCTAGAGCAGGTCATGTGCAGCTTGAAACCTTCTGGCTCCCCCTTTGATGTGGTCCCCCCTCGACTACTAAAGGAGGTGTTTCCAACTCTAGGTCCGTCCATTCTTGATACAGTAAACAGTAGTTTATCCACTGGCGTGGTGCCAAAATCATTTAAACATGCTGCCATCCAGCCTCTCCTGAAAAAAACAAACCTTGACCCCTCAGTCATATCCAACTACCGGCCTGTCTCCAAACTCCCATTTGTTTCTAAAGTACTGGAGAAAATAGTCGAGTCCCAGTTGAAGTGCTTCCTGGAGGATCACGCCATCTTGGAGCTTTTCCAATCTGGCTTTAAACCTCTCCACAGCACTGAAACTGCCCTGCTGAAGGTCTTTAACGACATATTCAGATTCACAGATACCAGTGATTCTGTGCTGCTTGTCCTGTTGGACCTCACAGCCGCCTTTGACACCATCGACCATGAGATCCTCATTGCTAGGTTGGAGCAGTGGGTGGGTGGGCGTCACAGGATCAGCCCTCAATTGGTGCAGATCTTACCTCACTGAAAGATCCTTTTGTGTCTCCATCAAGGATTTTAGTTCCGCAGACTTTTTCACTTTTTGGTACTTTATTTTGTACCATTATTGTATGCTTTAGCATTTTTTCGTTTGTTTGTTCTTTGTTTTTATTGAGTCAAATCAGTTCTTTTCATCCTGAACATTTTATTGTACTATCCTGATACATGCTCAATAATCCAGGCAGAAAACTCCAAAAAAGTTCATCCGAGAGACGAAACGTTACTACATTTTTTTTGCTTTGTTTTATTTTTTTCTTGTGTTTTGAATGTCCAGACGACCAGATTGAACTTTTTTGGATTTTATTGTACTGTTAACCTTGTGTTAACCTGCATATAACAGACACAACTTGTTTAACATGTCTAGAACATGTTTAACACGTCAGCTTTATTTCATGATTTCACATGTCTAAACATTGGATGTTCATGTCATCTTTGCTCTAAATCCATAACATGTGGAAAACATGAATTTCACATGTCAGATGGTAATAGGGAAAACGTTAAACAAATGAGTTAGACATTTTCCTTGTGGATTAGAAACAAAATAACTTCACATGAAGTACATGTGAAATGTGTTTCCTGTGTGGCTTTGGAACATTTATAATGTGAACGCATAATGTTTTCTACATGGAATGAACACTCGTGTATTCATGTTAGTTTTTGGTGACGGCCCATCTGGACTGAGATTGAAGCCCAGAACCATCAGCTGGCTGACTCTATACTTACACTCCGGCTGTAAGCCCTATAAAAACACTCATGCAGCTGATAATTTGTGCGCACAGCAATTTACTGAGGAACAAAGAGCCTGAAATCAATAGTTGCAGACCTGCAGTGACACAAAGCTGCAGGTACGATCCCCGTGCAAACAGGCCGTGGCTTTAAAGCAACAGGTGAGCTCCTCTGCACCTCCCCCGTCTTCTCCCAGCACGCTCGTCTAAATATAGAAATTATGCTCTCTGATAACAACAAAGCCAGCAATATTTCCACCCTCCTCCCTGGCAAACAGCAGGGCTGAGATCAGAGCGTGAGCGCTCGAGCACTGAGGGAACACCTGCGCTGGCTGACCGGACTGTGAGGAGACATCACTGATGTCCACACCCGACCCTGGATCTTTACACTCCTGAACTGGTTTCATCTGGAGGTGTTCAAAGTCAGGGAGCTTCCTTTAACTGCACAAGATGGTCCTCTGGAGTGGGCGAGGCTGAGAGTCTGAATGTTTTCAGCCAGAAGGAACAAAAGCAGCATTTTACCAGGAGCCCAAGTGTTTCTGAGCCTCATGTATCAAAAGTCAGGATCTCTGGTTAGTTCACAAAGATTAGCTTAGAAGAGTCAAAGGGGCAGAGATTGGGCCAAACTCTGCAAAGGTCAAATAAAAACCTGCCTTTAAGCTGTTTCCTGTTCCTTTAGAGAGCCGAGGCAACAGCTGCTTCATTCTGGAATAAAAGGCCATGTTTGATGGACAGGGGATGTCCAAGTGTGTGCAAGTTATAATCCACTGTGGGGTGTTGTTAATGGACAGGTGGAAAAGTCCCCTCCTCCCCCAGTGTGTGTGTGGGGTGGGGGATCTCACATGGAGCTTTCATGCTTCGACACAGATCTGCTCCGAGCCGTGAAACAAACCTTCAGCTCGGCTTCTCGTGTAGGCCTTCCATCACGATGAAGCTGCTTCGTTTTTATTTTTTCTAAATGACGAGGCCTTGAACATAAAAAGGTGAACACGGGCTCATTAACATGTAAAAGTTTTAACGGGACGAGTCAACAAACTGAGCTCTGAGTGTCTGCTGAGCCGCCACTTTTATTCATCGTCTGGTCGCAGCTAAAGGTCAGCTTTTATTTGGCCCTCATCACGTCGTCGTCTGTTTGCAGTGTTCTGGGTGGGGGGGACTTTGAAGTTTTATGTGTGCCCCAGGTCTACGATCTGTCCCTCCTGTAATGGTCTCCATAAAAAAAGACAACTCTGATCTTGTAAGAAAAGTTATATGTTTAAACTAGGAAAGGCAAAGTCAACCAGTAAAGCTCAAAAAGTCTGTTAAAAGTTAATGGTTTGATTTTTTTTATTTGACAAGCAAAATGACTTCAGCCCCCCCCCCCCCAACCCCCCAGCTTTTGACAGTTTAATCTGACAAATTTGTTTACTTTTGATGGTTTTAAAGCAGTGGTTCTCAAACTGGGGTCCCTGAACCCACAAGGGTCCGCAAACCGGTGCTTGGGGGTCTGCAAAAAAAAAAAACTGTAATAATTTATTTTTATTATTTTACAATTCATTTCAATTTCAATTCAGTTTATTTATATAGCGCCAAGTCACAACAGAAGTCGTCTCAGGGCACTGAACAGAAACATTTGTATATATAAAGTGTATTAATAATGTTATTTATCTACAAGCACATATATTTTAACAACACGTTAAAATACACCAAAATGCAGGAAACCACATCTACTTAATTCAACATTTTCTGGGGGAGGATCCCCAGACACTTTGCACCCCCCCCCCCCCAACCCCTTGCTGGCCCGCCCGCTATTTGCACATGCTCATTATGTGAATATGTAAAGTTTTAAAGTGGTTTTTGATTCTGTTACTTTTCTCAAAACTGTAATTTTTGGAAGTAGAGATTAAACATTTTGTTAATTTTATCTTGAATGAAAAATACTCCATCTTTAAAAGTATAAAAAATGTATTAACACTATTAAAGAACAGCTCTTAAGTATTTATGTTACACAAATATTTCCATTGTATTAAAGAGACAAACTGAAGAACATTATTTAATAAACATGAAGGTTATGAGGGGGTCCTGAAACTTTGTGTCCCCTGTAAGGGGTCCCTGAACCCCTAAAAGTTTGAGAACTCCTGTTGTAAAAGACGTAGCAGCAGTTTGGACAAAGTTTTCACAATGAAAAGATAAAGAATGATTTTCAGTTCTGTATTTTGACAGAAAACATGGAAGATTTGAAGATATTTTAAAAATCTTTATTTTTTAGAGTATGTTGAGACTGTTTTACCAGGTAGACTTTCTTAAATAAACACATAAAATACAGCAGCTCAGTGTTAATATAGATGAGTCAGTCCAAAGTGTGAAAAATATATCAATAATAAATAAATACATTTCATAAATATATCTAAACAACAATAAATAAACTGTTACACTTTGTCGTTTTCAAAAGTTCTCCACAGCTCTGAAAAACTGAACTTTAAACCTTTCAGGTCTGTCCAGCTGGACAGCAGCTGATGTCTCTGTCCTGCACTTTGTCCAG